AAAGAACTCCAACGGAAATTCAAGGCTTAATCTAAACTAGATCTCAATGCGGAAAAGGGCGTAAGTCTAGGCTGTGCAAAGCTAGCCCATCGCAGATGAAAGCCGAGCGCCTTTGCCACCTTCCCCGATCTTTTTACACTTTGACATCTGCTTCTTTGGATCACCTTGAGAACAGGAAGCTCTGAAGTGAAGGGCTCAAGCGAGCCTTCCACCAGGCTTCACCAGGCTTCATACAGCTTCACTTTGACCTGATGCTTCTGACAGCAAGCCAACATCCAACTCCAAACCCTTTCCGATATGAATGTGAGAAGCAGCCGGGTGACTTCGCAGCTTCAGCCGCTTCAGCCGCGGTCGAAACAGTCGACAGCACCAGCCCCTCTGCTGGACCGGACGCCACTTGATCGGACTGTGGAACAGCTGCCGTGCCAGTCCTAATTCCTGCTTTTGATCAAAGTGTCTTAACCCGCAAGCCACACACCACAAGAAGAACCTGGCAACCCCCGACCGTAATCTCCACTGGTGAGCAAAGACGGTGGGCTGGCTCTCTAGAAACTGCTTTCCAGGGAAAGGCCTATGAGGGCTTTCCCTTTTGGGAGCCTGAAGAATGGAAACAGTTGTTCTCTTACGACACCCACTCTGAATCAGGCAACTGGTCAAAACCAAATTCTGCACGCGCCCCTTTTGACCAGGACTGCTGTTACGACAGTGTAGCCACCTGAGCCCTCGGGGCATGGCCTCAACTTCAGCCTGCAACCACCGAGCCCTAGTTGTGGAGCTGACGCCGTCGTTCAAAATCACCAAGTTGCGACTCTGCGGATGAAGCTCTCGGTCGGTGACGGAAAAGCAACACAATCGTCATGGTGAGATACGGTTCTGGCAAACATTGCCCAAGTGTGAGGAAGTTTGGCCTTCCCCGAAAATGACGTTGCAGCCTTTGCACAGGCTTTGCCACACCTGGCTGCCTATGCTGCCTCGTGGGGCGGGGTCCCCACAAAACAAATGATGACCCTCTGAGCATCTTCGCCAAGAAGGACTTGCAACCCTCAAGTCTTGGAAGTGCCTTAGCGGGTAAACTGGAATACTCAAGCTGCATGCGACATCGAAATAAGCCGCGTTGTTGCCTTGAGCCTTTTTGCAAATTTCCTGAAGGCTCTGCTAAAGGTTGTTGTTTCCTCCACCATTCAAAGAACAGCTACAGATCCAGCGAGCGAAGGCAGCCGTAACGCTGACTGGAGCTTCCCAAAGACTGGGCCAGGCAGAAGGCGCTACAATGTCGGCAACGAAATCCGGCTCAACAATGGGCTTTTCAATTTGCTGTTTTGCAGCCTTTGTTTCCATGAAGTCGAACACTCACCATGGCTAGCTGGACAAGACACGAAGCGATGGGGTTATACTGCCTGAATGTGTGCCAACTGAATGAGACATTGGGCACCGCCGGATGACTATTCGTTAGTCATGGCAATGCTAAGCATGCTGAGACATGTTCAAGACCTCTGCATCGGAGTTCGCGAGCTCTGCGAACTCGAGACTCTGAGTAGAGTCAGCAAAAGAAATGCAAGTGGTCATAGCCTTCATCCCAGTGATTCTTCTCAACAATGAAACTCTCAAGCAGACAGAACCGGTTGAGCAAGGCCACGCACCACACAGGCCTGGGGGCCTGCAGGCTGGCCTAGGGGCCGAGCAAGCCTAGAGCAGGCAATAGCGAACATAAAAAGTCATGGGCTTTGCAGGCTTAGCAAGGCGATGGCCGCTGTGCCTCAGTTGCACTGGGATCAATTCGGCCCATAGCACAGGAGGAATCCCAAGCTGTCTGCCCCGACACCAGCAAGCTAACAAGGAAGCCGATCGATTCTGGCCTGGCTTTTGACACGTCTGCGGAAGGCAACTGCGGATCACAGGTTTTCAAACGGCGACGCAGATCTGAAAAGAATGCCAATCACTGCTAGGATCAAAGGGTGACAGCGTCCGATGACAGAATGGAACAGCCTCCTCTTCTGCATGCTGAAAGATAATCCAACTACAAATGGCAACTTGAGTGTCCTCAGCACACTCTGAGTGCAGCACTTGTGTCCTGACAGGGAGAGAACCCATGGCCGCAAGCAGGAAAACAACCCGCAACCCAACAAACCGCAACCAACAACCCAACAAGGCACTGAAGCTCTGAGCGCAGCCTTCAGCAGCGTTACATGCAAAAAGGGTTCTGGCTGGGCCTGCCTCACGCAAGGCCGGACTAGCTTACATCCTCCCAGCTACGACTGCTTGTAGTCAGGTGCAAAGTCAACATGAAACAAGAACGAGAATGACGAAAAGCTGTGGAGTTGGGCAGCGGCACGACTAAGGCCAAAGGTAAGGAAGCAAGCGGAAGCAAGATCAAGCTTGAGGCCCAGCCGCAGACCCACTTGGACTTACGGAAGCTGCATCACACTGCAAGAATGTTTTCCGTCAAGTGCCGCCCGACGAGTCTTCATGTTGCGATCTCTGCACTGAGTCAAGAGCGCAAAGTATAGACGAACATGAAGAGGGATTTCACCCATCAAGTGCTGGTCAAAGACCCTTTGCTGCCGTTCAACCATGAGCCATACCCAAACGTGTGCACTATTTGTGCCCGGAATCCAAAGCACTTCATGAAGTGGATGAGGGGAGAACAGGGAACATACAGCAAATAAAGTCGGAGCAAAGCTCCATGAGCAGTGCCTTCCAGGTGCAACACCATACGAAATGTTAGGCGCCTTAGGCGACTTCCCGGCTCCCAATTGTCCAACGTGTTGAAATCTAGAGGTCTAGCATGTAGCTTCGGACAACTCCAACTAACTCCGATATATGATATATGCGCCGCCTTCCGTCGCGTGACTATCCTCCAAGCCGTTTGCAGACCGTGGCAGTCAAGCTTTCATGTGCAACGGAACCTCAAGATAGGATAACATGACTGCGCAAAATCTGCAACCACCACCACCACAAAGTGCGTTGAGCATCCCCCATCTCACGGCACGGAAGTATTCGCAACATGGCACCTTGCACTAACTTTCGCTCCAATTTTAAAATCGAATTTGGACGTTTGAAAAGCTTAATGAGCCAGTGAGATTTTGCGAAAACCAATGGAGAGCAGCATCCTGACCCCTGGAACGTAAAACTTCTTGGTTGTCAAGGGCGCATCTGCTGCTACGCTTGAAACCTGCACACTCGAAATCAAATGCTTCTGCGACTTAAAAAGTTGCTTTGCAAACAGTTGAGAAAGCTTTGCTACAGCCTTCAAGGTGCACTGGGATGCTCACAGCACGGCATGCGAGCAGCATGAACTAATTCAAGCCCTATCGAGAATGCCATGCACATGTCGTCCGATCAAAATCTGTAGACGGTATGGCGGACTGGCTGCTTCGACAGCGCCAAGCCATGGGCACCTCTCGGAAGAGCGCGAGGCGCCTTGAGACGAGCTGCCCAAGCACCTGACAAAATACTGCGCGAGCCGAATTAACAACACAAGTTGGAACATTGCATGCTTGCGGCGAAGCACACATGACGCCTCGAAGCGGCAACACCTCGTACTGCCACATGTAATTGCGGCCATGGCAACACAACACAAGTCTGACAAGCCTGTTCTGCGTGTAAGCATGCATCCTACTAAGCAATTGCGCGGTCTATTGTTTGTGCCCTTCACTGAGCCAACAATGTCTTTGCTACATGTCAGCTTGATTGGATAGCACCCGCCCCTGTGGCATGTCTGAGTCAGTTGGTAACGATTTGTCACTTTGTAAGTGTCTATCTTCTACGCCAAGAAGACTGGTTTCAAAGTATTGTAGCCTGCATGTTGTGCAATCGTATATGTGTGGTGCGTCCATAGCCTTTGTCTGCAGTGATTGTTTAATCGTGGATCGTCCAATTTCATATTGTTCGTGACTTGGCAGTACGACACCCGCCTCCTACCTGAAAAGGTACTCCGCGCGCTGTGCACGGCATGTTGACTCTTGGCAATCACAACGCACAGGCCAACCAAGAATAGAACAAACCAACAAGAACTCAATGAATCCAATCTTCCCAAATGCTAATTCTCTTACAATCAGATAAGCGTGCGGATCAAGCTCCAGGCTGTGCTAAACTAATCAACTATTTATGAGTTGCGGCTTAGGCTTGGCGTTTTGGAGCTGGTGAAAATCTTACAAAAATCAAAACAAATCTAAATACGAAAGTATTCGAACACAATGACAAAAAAAAGGCTGGCGGAAAACTTCCTTGCAAATGTAAAAAGCTACTGGGCAGCAAGGGTATATATGTTCTTCACAAACTGCAGTTCCCAAATGCACTCCAATGTTTTTTCTTTGCCGTCATCAAAGATCGACTCTTCCAAAAGAAGCTTGAACCAAATCCGCCGAGGCCAGAGGCCTGGGTCGTTTAGATCCAAGGCCGCTGGAAGAGTAGGTTAACCCACCCCCTAAAAAATATGTAAAAGGTAGGTTCAAGGGTTTGGGCTGTTTTGGGTTGGGTTCCTGCTTTGTTTGTTGTTTTTCATCATTGTATCCTCATTGTTCTCTCTATGTTCCACCTGTTGCATTTCTTATTTCTCATTCTTGGGGTCAAGATTTCTCACATGTCCCCCTCTCTCGCTTTCTCATCATGTCCCCCTCCTTCGTTTTTCGTCTCTCCTCTCTCTACCTTTGCTCCTCATTCGTTTTTTCCCAGACCCCAATATCCAAAAGGACGTATCGCCCCCTCATTCGTTTCTCCTCTCTCTACTCTTCCTTCTCATCACGTTTTGATTTCGGGGGTTTTGATGTTTTATTCATTTTATAGGTTAATCATCATCTTCATTGTCAACATCACGGACACCATGAAGGTCTGCCTTGCTTGTTCTGACACTCGACAGGTTGTGAGTGCAGGACGCTTTGATTCTGATTGTTGGAACATACAGTGGCGCATTCATAGCATGAGCGAAATCTTGATTTCACTGTAGCACTTTCTTTACCCAAGTGTTGAAGCATCCAGCCTTTCCTTGCCTTCTTGAAGTCATGGCTTCTTCTAGCAAGGCTTACCCGACCGAAGTTGATGGTGAGGAGCCTACCGTTCAGCAAGAGGCAGACCGTCTTCTTGCCGAGGCTTTGTCAAACGAGACACACACCGAAGACAGCGAGCAGAAGAACGAAGAGACCGAGGAGGAAGAGACAGATGAGGAGGAGGTAGAGAATGCACGGCGCAAGGGTGGAGCACTAGATGATGACGAGGACGACAAGCGTGACAAGCCGTCGCCCGCAGTTCTTGCCACAGACCCAGCTTCGTCTTCTTCGGACACCAACCCGCTGTTGCCCTACATCCCCGACCACTTTATCACCGACAAGCAGATGGAGCAGTTCCTCGCCAACTCTTCCCACAAAGACCGTGTTGCCTTGCGTGAAATGCTGACCGAGCCGTGGAGAACAACGTCGTCATCCTCACACAGGTGAAGAAGGCTATCCTAAAGCACGAGACCGAGATTAAGAAGCAAGACAAAGTCCTCAAGGAGCAGGAGAACAAGGAGAAGAAGAAGACCGACGCAAAAGACTTTAGGGAGTTTGTCATTACCCTCTTTGTCCGCTTCAACGAGACGACGAAGACGCTCAACGTGGCACGTGGCACAACGGTTGGGGAATTCATGACACAGGTGTTGAAAGCCTTCAACATGAAGAAGGAGAAGAAGGATGCCACCCTTCGCTATGAGGACGTGTCTTTGTCAGAGCACCCTCGCCGAACGCTCATGGGCTTCAAAGTGGAGAACAACAGCACCCTGACCCTTTCCTTGCCTATCAAGGGTGGCGGTGTCATGAAGCCGTGGCTGAAGAAGACCGAAGCCATCCAGACGCTTACCAAGAAGGCTTCCTGCAGTGTGGACAAGCTGATTGTCTGTGACGATGAGCAGGTTTTGGATGAAGACCTCAACAAGCACATTCGTAACTTCATTGATGAGAAGCGCTCGACGGTGTCAGCTATCAAGTTGATGCAGGAGCAAGGCACAAGGAACATCATCAAGCTGGCACTGCGCAACATTAATGAGGACGACCTGAACACCATCAAGGGCATCATTGGCGACCGCAAGACTGAAGGGCGCAAAGGCAACACTGAAGAGAAGGTGCTTCGCGCTTCCTACCTGCCGTTCCCTGCCCTTCGTGACGTCAAGAACACCATCACAAGCATTAAGTCGTTGGAAGGTGAGTTTGGAAAGGAGTTGCCGCGCTTCTATGTGCTTGAGTATCACTCGGTGACTTTGGGCGAGGCGAAGTTCGACAACGGCAAGTTCGTGGGCAACATCGATAAGGAGTTGCAGAGGCGTGAGAACCTCAAGGAACACTCAAATGCGCAGAACCTCAACGAGGCATGAGAGCAGACCCCAGAGGGCGTCAACTGTTCCATCTGCTGAGGTTGTGAAAAGTAGCACAGCAGAC